AAAACCTCTTGGAGTTCCTTCTAGCACAGATCATTTTATGAAGTGAATAGGAAGAYAAAGCATTTTTTGCAAAGGTGTTCTCTCTTTCTAACTTTGGGGGCAGAATATAGGAATATTATATTTTGGGACAATTCAGTGGCAGTGACCCACTTTGCACGTGGGCAAAGAGGTGAAAGAAACATTTCACTAAAAAATCTGATTTCATTTCCATCTTTTTTTTTCCCAGAAAACTGCTGTAAACTCATAAACCTTGCTTCAAATGTTGCAGGAGTATATGCTTTCAGCCCATCAATTGCAATTTTAAAAAGTACATTTCCTCATACATAKCTCAGGCCCCACCTACACAGTTATTTGGCTGAGTACAGAACAGTATGTCTAATAAGTACCACTGAGGTTCCCCTTGAACAAACCAGAATCATTTCGCATCCAAAATCCATTCTCCTTCATTCACTAATTTCTCTTTTTAATATAAAATTTTATTAGAAGATAATTACATTAAGAACTAGAAGGCCTTGAACCCTTCCAGTGGCTGTATCAGACATCAATTTACTTCTACTTTTGAGAATTATTTTAATAACTCTCTAGCCTTTTTGCATGAATAAATATAGAATTCAGCAAGGAAGCATAACTCTCTCCATTTAAAGAAAAAATCAGCAAGGTCCTTCTCTGAGARGATGGAAAATTTGCCAAATTATTTTTTCTTTTCCCTGTAAAAATTTATCTTAAACTTCAGCAAGGCTGTCACACTAAACTAGACTGGATTACAGGTGGGTAACTATTTCAAGACAATGCAAGAGGAAAACTGAAGCCTAGAGACTCCAGTCCCTAGGAGTTAATGACATTTTCTACAGTAAAATGGCATGTTGTTTTAACACCCTGTTATGCCAGCACAGTTTCACTCCCTGCGCTGTTCTGCAGTAATCTCAGAASTGTTCTCACTTTGTGAAGGTAACACTGAGGGAGGCTTCAAATGCACTGTAACGCTGTAATTTCATKATCACAAAAAACAACACTCAGAATCTTCTCTCTACAACCTGAGATTTCAGGCTGTCCAATGACAATAAATACCCCAAGTCACACACACAATCACCATCTGGTTCTAGCACATGAACACTCAAACCCTTGATGGCCACATTTCCTGTGACCTGAGGTTAGGAAGTGCTTGGCATTCGACAACTGAAAGAATTATGTAGGTGTCAGGGTGGTTAAACACAGACTATCAGGCAAATAATGTTTTTTTCCTTTAAGTATCTGGCATTTCACATTATGGCAATTTTTTTGCCACAAATTCCACTCACACCTAAGTGCTCTGATCCCACACAGCACTTAATGATAAATCTGCCTTATCACACATTTGAAAGGAGGGGAAGAATGTAGCATGCTAACAACTAGAAACCCCCATTCACTTACCACACTACACAAATAATTAATAACCAAACAATAAAGTAAGGTGCTTTTGCATTCGATTTTTCAGAGCCAAGCCATCAGAAAGCCTTTGAAACAACGGAGAAATTAAAAACTAAGTCCGTATTGGAGCAGAGATCACCTGCACCATGAACGTGGCTGGGCTTCAGGGCTGCAATTGCTGTAACAACTCCATTTGGAAGCTGGGACCCTCCACCATGGAAAGTCAGTTGGATTTTACTTCTCCAAACAGAACAGAAACAACCTTGAAGAAGGCATCAATGGATTGCAAACAAAACCAATTCTACTCTCCCCTGCTACACAACAGAAGTAAAAGGGGCATGAAAAGGATCTTATCAATATGTCCACTTTATCTTTGCATGCAAACAGGGGAGCACAGACTAAATAATAACATGTAATTTTAAGGTCCTTTGCATTTATTCAGAGAGAATGAAGCATTTGGACAAAATATAACTGCAAATTAACTGAGGCTGTAAATTATGCCTCAGATGTCAACTGCATCAGCAGAGATTCTTGCAGCCTAATTGTCTTTTGAAGCAGCACAGTAACAGATGCAGAAGGAAACACTTGCAAACACAAGAGGAGAGAAAGAAAATAGCCCTTCAGCACTGAAAGAAGTTTTTAAAAGACACAAGAACAGAGAAGAAAAAAAAATCAATAAAATTTCCACAGGAACTCGTAAGAGGAACTCATAAGTAAATGTTCCTGCCACAGTTCAAGGGCCACTTGAAGCCTGCATTTTTTTTCTACATGAAGCTCCAAAAACATGTTTTAGTTGTGTCCACTTTACTAAAAATAATATATATGAGCTTTWTCATGCTGCATTAAGTGTCCTTCTGTGAGAAAAACCTCAGCAACCATATTCTACATCCCATGTTTAAAATTAACCTGAGACCTCTAATCCACATTTTCTCTACCTTCCCCAACATTTACTGAAATTCAAAAGTTAGTATCAGGTATTACTCATATCAGTTAAAYGGCAGAGAAAAGCCAAATTTCACAACTTTTACAATTTATTAAGAAACCACAGCTAATTTCGTGCAGAAGAAAAAGGGAAAAGAAAGATTACAGGTGTTTTCCACTATATCTAGAAGTTATATCATGGTAAGAAAATTGTGGAGATAGAGACAGAAGTGAGATAAGACACAAACAAATATTCAAGTGTATGCCTTAATTAATACCTTAAAAAAAGACAAATCCTTCAACATGAACATGGGAAGATTATTTAACTAAAAGATTCAATCACAAGAACTGTGAATTATTAGAGAACAATGTGAACCTTGAGCTAACCACAGAGCTACATGATTTAAGTGTGTTGAATACAGGCTCTGTTATTTCTATTAAAAGAGAAAACCTTCATGGCTCTCCTGAGAAAAAAAAAATTAAAATCAAATAATTTAAACATTATCATTTAAAAGTTAACCAGATGGCATAACAAGAATATTCACTTAACCTTTATCTTCATCTGAGAGAAATGTGCAAATTATAAAGGTCTAGCTTCAGAAGAAAGGATTTTCTTTATCCCACATCTGTGTGGACAATACRGAATCAGTAATTACTCTAGAAGGATTTTGAATGTTTTACTTCACCTACATTAACTTTACCTTCCCTGAAATCRTCTGCAGGTATGACTGATTTATTACCTGCAAGTGAGGGAGCTCAGAATTTTTTTCCAATACTTCCTAAAATAAATATTTTAAAACTTCTTGCCTATGAACCAGTGATGGACTTCATGCATCATTAGTAGTACTATAAAAGCAGATACAATTTATRCTGATCCTGATCTCCTTGTTTGAAAACTGTGACTTTTGTTTCTTAAAAAGAAAACAAAAGCAAAAGCAATAACTAAAATAATCACAACACTGTTTTTGAACTGCCAGTTCCTGYATGGATTATAGAAGTCTTACAGCATTGTAAAAGGAAAGGATGAAATACGGAGGACTTCTCTCAGGTAAGAAACAYTGTATGAAATAAAGAATACAAAACATATATATTAGAAAGAAAATTTGGGCAGAATTGCATTATTTCTTTTGGACTACTTAAAGAAATGTTGGTTGAGAAATCTTTACAATTTTTGTATAAAGCAGTTACATACAGAATCGTCAAAAACCTATTRGAACCTACATCTTAGAAAAGAGATATGAAAAACATAAAACTGGTATAGTGGATTATTAATTAAATACATGTAGGCATAATTGGATGTAAATGTATCAAATGAAAAATGTAATATCATGAACATAAAACATAATTATAGACCGTAGCTATGATTGGCCATATGAACAAAGGTCAAAGCTAAATTTGCATGACCATATTCATCCAATATTCATCCCATATTCATGTACAGGATTCTTTGCTTTTAGTTTGCCTTACATAAGCTCCAACTTTTCTGGAYTGTAGCTGTAGTGGATTGTAGTGATATTAATTACATATTAAAGAATTCCAGCCATATAAACCAGGATGTTCAGATGGAAACAAAAATGCCTGGATCAATAAACAAAATCTCATTTAAAAAATCAACTATTGTATTAAATTCCAGAACCAGAAGGAGATTTTATGTCTTCCTCCTGCTTGCTTCTGAAAATTGAGATTAACAAAATCAGTCTCAGCTCTCTCCTAACCTTTGAGTTGATAAAAATGCAGATACAGCCTTAAAGCTCAGCAACAACTGACCAGTTTTCCTTTATTCTTTTCCTTTTCCTCCTAAGATTCCCAGACTTGGCCTAGCTTGGCTGGACAGATAAATGACGCTTTATCATGGAAAGGGTAAACATGATGAACTCTTAGCTCTTGCTCCAGACTTTTTGTGGCATGAGCAAGCATTAGTTGTGCCAAAGAAAGGGAGAACCAGTGYGTAATTTAACCAGCTGTTCACACACAAAAGACATGGGATCCAAACCTTTCTCTTCTGAGCACTTACTGGTTTGCTATGTTTTTCCTATAGATATAGGTTTCCGTATAGCTACTTATTACTCTCCATTAATAAAACCAATCTGAAATTTTTACCATGCTACAACAAGACATCATTATTACATACATTCCAGGAAAGAGGCATCTATCTCAGTTCTTATAAAATGAGTGAGTCTTTAATATTTTTGGGTTAAAATAATTCACATCTAAAATATATGCACAGTACTGAAACAGAGGAATTTACTTTCCCATTCAAACAACAAGAATTACATATCCAAAAGTTTATCTAACAAATATGGACTCATTTGAGACTACCAATGTTCTTCATACTGAACTGCAAAATACTGCAAAACCTTGGGTTAAATTTCMTTCATCAGCATCTGAAGCCTACAATGAGAGCCCAACAAAACACTGAGTTAAAAACAATAACAGAGGAATTCCAATTCTATTGAAGTCAAAGTCCTATTATTTTTATGCAAATTTGGACAAGATAACATGATATTGKGGAGTTTTTCATTTTTTATTTAATAAAATAATTTTGATTTAATACACTTCAGCTCAATAAAATCAGTTGCTTCCTCCTTTAGTCAGAAACCATATCAGCTGTCCAATGAAGTTAAAAGGCAGAAAGGCAGAAGACAATGCTAAAGATTTGGCTGTGTACATACCACCTTTCATCATTCCCACTTCGTAGCATTTTCTCAGTCGGCAGGCCTGGCAACTCTTCCTTCTRTTCTTGTCAATGGTGCACTGGTTAGTAGCAGGACACATGTAGTCGTTGTGCCCTGTATAACCAGGGAAAGTAAGGACACAGTTATACACAGACATAACAAATATTACTGTAATAATCCATTATTTTGCATTGTTCAGTACATGATCTAACATTTGGGGGAAAAAAAGAATGGTTAGCATCATAACCTCTCATAAAATTGTTGGTGCAGATTTTGCAACATCTCTATGCCACATATTTATTCTCAAGTGCTTTGAGTTAAAACTTCTGTAGATTAATTAAAATAGTGAACAATTAAATCAGCCACAGAAGAGGATAGATTAATATGAACAAGTGCCTTGACTTCCTTGCTCTTAGGTCAAGAAATACAATGCCATCTGGTTTGGTGTGCCTGTGCTGATGTTTAACCAATAGACTGCACAAAATGAGGTTTACGAAATTAAAAAGATCTATGCACAAAAGATTTTATCTACCACAGTCTATGGCAGTTAAGAAACAAACAACAACAAAAAACAGAAGCAACCATCCTCAAATGATTAATTGTACCCTAGGGATAAATCAGTCACTAATTCCAACTGCATGTCTATTGACATGTGCAAAAACCTTTTCACATGACAAATTCTAAAATAACCACATTCTGAAACCAAGATTCTTACTGGTATCTTTTTCTTCAGAGCTGCTCTTCCTCATTATTACTCTCTAAATATCAATTCTCATAACAAGTATTTTTAGCATACCATAATTTGTTACTGCCAACAAGCYTCTATTCTAATTTGCTCTAAAAAAATGTATGTTTAAATCTCTATAAACTTATTTTCCAACCATAGACAAAGGTTAGCAAGGATAAAAAAGTCTCTTCAAAATTATCTCTTAGTGCTCTGCATTCATCTGAATGCAACTAAGGTACAACATACACATGCAAAAAAAAAAAAAAAATTATCGCAGAACTGTTTGTTCTTCCTTTGAGGTCAAGAGATCAGCTTGAGGTAAAGTAGGGTGGAGGTTTGACGGAGACCTTGGTCTCATCAAATCATCTATCCTTGACTGCAAATTAGAAAATAGAGTAAAAATTACTATCAGATTACACCAGGAACATCTGTTCTCTAATGCTGCATAACTGGGATCTCATCAAAACAAGTAGCCAAGCTCCAAAATTGTTAATGAGGGGACAGCTGACTATACAGTCTCAAACAGACAGAATAATAATCTTTTAGATCTACTGGACAGAACAATATAATACTGGAAAAATCTGTATCCACATGCTTTGCTCCAGCACTGTGATAAAAAGGCACTACTGAACCACCACCTCAACCCAGCATGAGAGAGTGCTTTAATTTTCAGTTTCCTCTGAAGGATAGGGATTGTTCTATATCTGATTCAAAACCTTTCACATGTAAGGAAAAAAAAAATCAAGTCAGAAAGAAAACAGCCTTAACCATAGATACAATATCTACAGGGAAAAGGCACAGAAAAAGGAATTCATGTTTTTAAGAAAATGCACTTTATTGGATCACACTAAAAAGATTTTAGCACCTGACCTCAATCACCTGCCTTGTTTCATTAGCCAGCCTTGGAAATAGCATGAGATACAGATGGAAAAGTTAATTTACTCTTTAGAAAAAAATAAAAAAAGGCTTTGAAAGAATAGCTAATCTTCTTGCTGGTGAAGTTRAAAGGTGAATTCACTTGGGGAATGAGGAATGAGTGCAGCCTTTGAAATCTGCAAATAATTCCGAACACTATTTAGATCTCCATAAAGTAAGTTCCCACTTAGGTAGAAGGTGAAAACATGCTTACTACCTTTGCTGAATTGGCTGATGCTCATAATGTTCAAAGCTCAAAAAAAAAAATAAATAAATAAATAAAGTGGCAGAAATTACTGCATGGAAAAAACAAAAACCAAGTGGAATCAGTATCATCAGGGCAGCCATCCTTTTTTTTGCTATGCTTATGTGAGTGATAACATTCTCCTTAGCTCTGAGTCTTTATATCCTTATGAAAATGACATTTTTGGAAATAAACATTTGGCTTGTAAAATAGTATATAAAATAATTCTATTTGTAATAGAGCTACAGTTCCTASGTTCATACTATAATGTTTTTCCATTTGAAGAGTTCTATCATGAATTTACCATTTAAAGGTTAGCATAATTATTCTGTTTTCATGCACATGATCTGAATTGYAGACAATACACCTTTCATTCAAAGTGCTTAACTGACTTTACAGAATAAAGACTATAAAATCTGCCTTCAAAAAAAAGGGAAGATCTGAGTGTGAGGGGCATACTTCTTCAGCTTAAGAGTGTCATAGTAATGTCATTGTTTAGCYTTTCACATTTCCTGTAAATCTAGGAAGAAGAATACGCATTTACTATTTCTCATAATTTTTGGTTGAGTTTGACCAAAATGCCTTCAGGAGATGGGAAAATATGCAAGCAACAGGAAGAAAATATTTGATAATTTGAGTATGCAGTAAAAATCATTATCAAATTAATCAGGAAAAAAGAAAGAAACAAAAGGAAAAAGGAGATCAGGAACCTTTCCTGCTTCTCCACAATGCTATCTGATTTCAGGTATTTAGTTSCTGGAAGTGAAAACAGAAGTTTCCTTTGCAAGGCACAGACACAGACTAAGGCAGTCCAACTTAGGGTGGCTAAAAGAGAAAAAGGMAAAAAAAACACAATTAAAGAATAGGTAACATGCAAAACCAAGTTTTACTTTACAGTGAAACAGTATAGAACTAAATTATCCTGATGTAGGTGAATGTCTTTTAGCTATTCTACCTTTTATCTAATGCTTAAAGCTCTGGGCAAAGTTGATTCCAATCAATCTGACCTACTAGAAGAGATTTCTCACTGGTGGGAATCATCAGGATGAAAATGGAACACATCAACAGTGCCCAACTGCCCTTTCCTTTATTTTCATGGTATACAAAGCATAATACAGTTAGAAGAGAGCTGGTATCACAGGAATACCAAGAGGAAGAAATACCTTCAGAGGGAAGCATGTGTCACTTGGACTCTGTGATCTTATTAAGGCTCTTTGAAAAAAAATTATCAGATAACCTGCACCAAATTAAAAGCAGTGAATTTAATAGGGTGGATCCCCCAGTTTTAATCCCCTGTATGTATAACTTGCACAGTCATGAGCTGCCATGGAAGAGTTTAAGGGAGCTACTGGAGGAGCTTGGGGAGGGGTRGTCTGTTTTTCTTATGACATCTCATGAATTGTACATTTTAAAACAGTAACAATATCAGTAAGYATTTTTATAGCACTTCATGATATGCTAAGATCTTTCCAGAAGGGGGTGCAAAAATCAGACCSTTTACTCACAGTACCAAGAGTGATGACCAACAGTGGAGGGGAGGAGTATGAGGACACCTAAAATTATGTAGTTGAATAAACTCATCATGCATTTTGAACAGAGCAAGTAATAGCTGTTATCTTTTTACTACTATGTGCTTTTCCTCTAATTGTTCTTGTATTTTCAATCCTTGTGTCACGTATTTCTTAAGTTATTCTTTATCTGAATAAGGCAGCTACCAAGTTAGCCATTACGTCTGGAAGCATCAGATCCTTTTATGAAGTGACAGTGAAATCTGCAAAATTTTCATACATTTCAGCTGGGGTGAAAGRAAGGAAATGAAGCCTAAACTGTAAAATTTACCAACATTTTAAGGTGGCAAACAAGATTCGAGATGAAAAGCAAAACCTTGTAAAGAATTGCCTTAACAGCAAGTGGGAAGTGCACATTAAAAGAAAAAAAGTTAAAAAAAAATAAAATAAAATAAAATTAAAAACAAGCAACAAAAAAGAGCTAAACTAAAAAACAAGAAAAGCATTTGGACGTTAAATACATATATTACTAACTCAGTAAAAACAAGTGTTGGATGTAAAATAAAAAGCAACACCAATTTTAAGTTAAAGTGCCCCAATAAAACTGCACTGATTGGTTTTAAAATCACACTTCTTACTAGCAGCTTCACAGAAGAACAGAAGGTTATGTCTAAATCCTTTATAAGCTCAGATACTCAAATTCACAGCTTAATTACCCTCAGACAAGGTCTTTGGATTTGGAATTTGGCTTCTCTTAGCAACTACCCAGTGCTGTTGAGAATATTAATCTTCTTTCTGGTTTTAAACAGCCAAAACTTCAGTACATGCAACAGTAAGGAAAAGGGCCTAGAAAGCTGTAAAACATAGTTCACTTGCATCCAGTGAGGAAGTTCTCTTTTTCTGCATGCTTCAAAAGGAAAGGTTATGAGATATCTTGAGTTAGAAGAGACCCTCAAKGGTCATCAAATCTTTCACAGGACAATCCTAAGAAACACAGCACGTACACACATTAATCCCAGAACCACTGAAGAATGAGAAAGGAGGAAACATTAAAATTTATATACTCTGTGCTATGTCCTTCAGCTGTGTCAGGGAGCTCCCAGATTGTGTTTGCTTTCCAGTGGAGTCTGCTTTTCTTCACCTATGTACAACTGTACCTGCTCACATGGGCAGTTAATTCCAGCCAAACGATTATGACACTGACCTTTTTCTAGACCTTTCCACATACTAACAGGAAAAATGAAGAAAGGAGAATGGGCATTGCATGAGGACGCCAAACCTGCTGCCATCTCACCATTATAATAATGCATTAACTTATAGATTGAGAAAGGGTCATACATCAAAAAAAAGTCCACTATTTAACTGTATAAATCTATACATATAAAATTATATTTTCTACTCAAGCAAATAATTTTGAAGTTTTTATTATTTGCCCTATCTTAAAATTTAATTTAGTATTTTATCTACTAGTTCAGGATTATGATACCACGTGCAAAGTCTACTTCTACCCYATTACAATTTTTCTAATTTTAGCAAGGTAACAAAATAGAAAGTATATTTTTTTCCTCATGACAGAAAAAAAAGACAAAAATACTGATTCAATCTCCTAAAATCTGGCAAGGAGTATGACATCAAGTTTCTGTTTCCCTAGCTGATAAATCACAATTGTTTTAAATCCTTGGCACAAGATTAAAACAGCAGCTGTGTTAAAGGGAAAAAC